AAGAAAATATCTGTATATATACAATTTTCTCTCGTTTTATACCAACACAAACACATTTTATACATTTGCGTTTGTATAACAAGCGAGAGAGGCAAAGAAGAGAACGAGAGTGGCGAGTGAGATTTACCAAGATAGAGGAGAAATATCAACAGTTTGCTATGGGATGCAATTAAATCAAACTATATTTATAGCATTTAATTTGAATTAATAGTTTGTTATTATATACAATTTTTCTAAGTTCTAAATACTTGTTAAAAGTCGAGTTATCTCCACTAGGCCCAAAAACATAAAAAGCCCAAAAACACTTTACTATCAACAAATTAGCCCATTAAACTCAATATCCATATAACGAAACCCTAATCTCACTTCCTCAAAAACCCTAGCCTCTACCTCCATTTTTTCTTCCTTCTTCACAGGTAAGCAAGAGAGAAAAGCAAAAATGGTGTCCGGTTCAGGGATCTCCGCAAGGAGGATAGTGGTTGATGCTCGTCACCATATGCTTGGTAGGCTCTCATCAATTTTGGCTAAGGAATTGCTTAATGGACAGAGAGTTGTTGTTGTTAGGTGTGAAGAGATTTGTCTTTCTGGTGGACTTGTTCGTCAGAAAATGAAGTATCTTAGGTTCCTTCGTAAGAGGATGAATACTAAGCCTTCTCATGGACCTATTCACTTCCGTGCTCCATCGAAGATCCTCTGGAGGACCATCCGTGGGTTAGTTTGTTTGCATTTTTGAGCTTCAATTGATGATTTTGCTTGAAAAGTGCTTGTTTTGTATGAAAGTAGATTTATTTTGTGATTTGTAGATTCAGTGATACCTGTTTATAGATATTTATAGATTCGATGATATATGTTTACTTCAGGAAAAAACAATTTAATAAATAGGGGAATGTGAACTGAGAGTCCATCGGAAACCGTCATTCTACCTCATGGAGTAGGAGTGAAGTCTGTGTATCACTATACTTATCAAGACTCTGCTTGTGGGATTACAGTGTACATATTGTTGTTTGTAGTTAGTCTGGTAACAGTTTCTGTGAGTAGGTATTCTAGACAGAATGTGTTAATATATGCCTTTGTTTCCCGGGAGTGATGAAGTGATTGAACTTGGAGACATGATAAATGGTAGTGTAGAGCCAAAGATTAAATGTACTTGTAGTTGGAGATTCATTGGAAAAATGAGTTTCAATCAATGGTTTTATTTGAAAAAGTGCTTGTTTAACTGAAGGTAGATTTTTCGAGTAATAACTGTTTATGGATATTCGTTATAATATCGTACTGAGATATATTCATATAATTATATTTAAGCAGCCTTGACAGAATGTTCGAATATTATAAAGCTTTGTTCTGGGTGGAGGAATTAAGAGCTAGAGCCTGTAATCACTATAAATGATCTTTAAAAGTAAACAGCTCTATATACTGGCAGTTTGGTGTTCATTGGAGCGTGGAGTAATATATCATTCTTACTTGATGTAGAGTATGTTATGGTATCATGTCCACTTAAATGCCAATTTACGGAGTTTGTTGGAACCTAGTCATCTGCAAGTAAGAAATTTTAAGACTGATGTAGGCTTTTCATCTAAGCATGCACATTGTACTGATGGTTGAAGTTCTTCTACAATCCTAGCATGGTTGATCGTTTTGTTGGATAGTTATGTCAGATTTTGCTCTTTGGTGTGTCTGATCAATCTAACTATTTTTTCTTAGGATGATTCCCCACAAAACTAAGCGTGGAGCAGCTGCCCTTGCTCGCTTGAAGGTTTACGAGGGTGTTCCACCTCCGTATGACAAAATCAAGAGGATGGTCATCCCTGATGCTCTCAAGTGAGTCGTCCAAGGCTGTTCAGGTGCTTACTTTATTTTAATACCAATGTCGTTTACACTGACATGTTCTCCTTTTTCGTATTTAGGGTGTTGAGACTCCAATCAGGACATAAATACTGTCTCTTGGGTAAGCTTTCATCAGAGGTTGGATGGAACCACTATGACACTATCAAGGTGAATTTCTTGCTTTCTCCTTTCTATTTGATTATCAATCTTGATTGTTTTGATTAGTGAGAGTATCCAAGCAGAATAACATGTCTTGTGCACAGACTGTTGTGCCTCATTTGACTCGTATTTCTCCATGTTGTTGCGTATTTAGATGGTTGTCCAATTTCAGTGTCTTGATTGCCTAGTTACAATGTTGCTTTGCTAATTCAAATTTGTTATTTTTCCGGCTTCTGTGTTTCTTTGATCTCTAGTGTGAAATTTGCATGATTGCTTACTTTGCTCTTGAAATATGGTTATTACAGGAGCTTGAGAACAAGAGAAAGGAGAGAGCTCAGGTAGCATACGAGAGGAGAAAGCAGTTGGCCAAACTCAGGGTTAAGGCCGAGAAGGCTGCTGAGGAGAAGCTCGGTCCTCAACTTGCAGTTATTGAACCTATCAAGTATTAGAGTGTAAACGTAGTTTTTATTGAAGATGAAATTTTGCTTGAGATTGAGATTTCAACTTAATCTATCTTTTAAAGATGCTACCTGTACTGCATGGTCCAGTTTTTGCTTCTAGTAATATTCGAGCAGACTACATTGTTTAACTATCTTTCGAAGTTATTTATTTTATGGTTTTATTGACATGGCTCTGTCTCTGCTCCTTGTTAGTTTGCATTCTTATCTGTTGATCTGCTGCCAATATTTCAAACCTGTTTCAAAGGATGATTTTTCTTCCGTCAAATCGAGGGTCTATTGCAAATAACTTCTTTACCCTAAAAAGGCGCTCTAACCTCTCTGGACATCACTTTTTTAAAACCAATTTGGTGACTAGAGTGATGTTTGTGCTTTGTGCTTTTTGTGTCTAGTAGTATTGTAAATGTTGTGGTAATTTCTTAGTTGTGGCCTTTGATTCTTATATGGTTGTAATTACCTTGGGATATTTGAAAGTTCTTGAGCTTATGATCTAAAATAAGTTATAAATTATCGAGCTTTGCGTAAATACACCGAAAAATCTTTGTATTTTAAAGATAATTCAAAATCCTCGTTAATAAATAAGACTAATATAGGACAATTTATTTTGAGATTGTCATATCTACCAAGCAGGTAGGGTAGTGCGTCAAAATAAGACATTTTTTTACTGGTTTTGGAACATTTCGATCTTATTTGTTTTGGTTATTTATTTTAAAATCATTAAGAAAATGCTATAAAATAATTATATGATTTCTTCGATAAATTTGAAATGATAAGATAATTGTAATTTTACGGAACACTCAAAAAGTAAAACCAATAGTAGCTAAACTATACAAGTGTAATATGGAGTTCTTACTTTAGATTTGAATGTTTTGACTTTTGAATAGTCTGACATGAGCTCTAAAAGGACAAAGACCGAAATTAATATTTAAAGTTTACACGGAGGTAAAATATCATCTAAATGGGTTATCAATTTATCCATAATTCAATATTAAAAGATCAAGATCGATAATCCTACAATTTTTTTTTTACAAAACCATTGAAAATCTATAATCCAAATGCCCGACAATTCTACATTTGATCAATAGATGCCAATAAGAGTCTGTTTGGCTCAGCTTAAAAGCTGGTCAAACTGACTTAAAAGCTGGTTTTTGACTTATTTAGCTGTTTGGCAATATTCAAAACAGCTTATTTTAAGTTAAAAAAAACTTATTTTAAGCCAAAAGTTAAAAGCTGAGGTAGGGGTGCTTTTTTATTTTTAGCTTATAAGCTGTTTTAAGTTGACCACATTTTTATCTTTTTGTGCTTAATATTTTTATACAATCTCCAAATTACCCATATAACTCTAACATTTCTTTCTTCCATTTATCCCTTTTCACGTTTGACATAACAATTTCAGCACTTTTATCCAAACGCATAACTGCTTATTTTAAAAATAAGTTTCAGCACTTTTAAAAGTACTTTTTTAAAGCTGCTTTTATTAAGCCCATCCGAACGGGCCCTAAGTATCAAACAATGATTTTAAGTATAATGATAAAATTAGAAGAAAAAAAAATCTTTCTTAATTTGTTTAAAGAAATAAATAAAAGAGAAAAATAATTTTAATATACTAAATATGTAAAAAAAAAAAGAAGGAGAAAAGGTGGATGATATCACATATATTTTTAATTTAAAGTGAACAAAAATTAAGGAAAATGATTAAAAAACATAGTGTTATATCATAATGAAGGAGGTTCATCTCGTGAATTTTTATATCACTGTTCACGTTCACACTTCTTTGAATAAATTGCAGATTATGTGCCTTTAAAATTTGCTTTTCTTTTAATTATATTATTAAAATTAAAAAAATAAACTACCCATATTAAAAAATCTACTTTCCAATTTTTTACCAAGGAAGTTTGCTTTCTTTTATTTATCAAAATTAAAAATCCACTTTCCAATTTATATAAAGGAAAGTAATTATTTTAACACATTTGCTATTGACCTCACCCATTCACCTTCCATTTAAGACTGCAATTTATTTATTTAAATTTAAATTTAATAGAATTGACTAATAATCAATTTAGTGAAACAAAATCTTCCTTAAAATATTTTCTTTGTAGAAATTTAAATATAATATTCCCTCCGTTCACTTTATATGAATTATTTTTATTTTTATCGTCTAAAAAAATATTTTAATATTGATAACAATTTAATTTACCCTTAACAAATTGATTTCTAATCACATAAATGTTATCGAATTATTTCAGATTATAAGTTTCAAAATATATCAAGTCAAACTAAATTAAGACAGAGGGAATACTAGTTAAAAATAGTCAAACTAAATTGTTAGTAAATTACTCAATTAACATTTTAGAAAAGATTTTACAAATCATTTAAAATGATTTTCCCGTGAATAAATTTCTTTTATTAGACTCATACTTTCCATCTTCAATTTATTTCAACAACAACAAAAAAAAACATTAAACATCTCCTTATATAGAGTTGAAATATCCAAGTAGGTCTTTTTTTTAATTGTTCTTCATTTTCATTTTATAAAAAAATTATATTTTTCTTGTGGAAATGGTTTCTTTTCAATGTTTGTTTTTCTATACAATTCTTTTTATTCTTAATTTCTTCAATGGATTTTCTGAACAAGAAAATTCAAGAATTCATAGAGTTTATCATAGGAGAAACCAAATAATACCAACAATTTATGTTGATAAATCTGGCCATGGAAATTATTCAACTATTCAATCAGCAATTGATTCTGTTCCTCCATATAACCAAGATTGGATATGTATATACATCACAGCTGGAACATATAGGTATTCGTTTGTTTCGATTATCATACTATTTTCTGTTACAGCTAATCTGCTATTAGTTTTTATATGGTTTCTTTATTACGAGATTTCCTTTTTTTATTGATTTCGATATGATTTATTTGAGTCGAGGGTTTATTGAAAAAATAACCTATCTACCTTCACAGGAGAGGTGTATATACCACAATTTTCAGATTCCACTTATAAGATTACACGAGTATGTTATTAAATTGTTATAAGAAACATTTTGCACATTTGATTTTAGTCATCTTAGTACAATTTTCTAGAGGCGGAGTTAGGTAGGTATTTGTGAGTTTGGATGAACCTAGACGTAGGTCTTTTATGTAGATTCTATATTTGTATTAAAAAATTAAATAAATATATAAATCTATTAACTTGTAAATCTCTAACAAAATTATTTAACAACTCAGTGAAGTAAAGAAGATGTTGCGAAATTTTTTTCCACAAATCTGTGGGTACAAACCCTAATACCCCAAATTCTTAATCCTAGCTTGTCTCTGCATCATTTGTACAATTACTTTATGCCCAATGCTTGTTAATTTTTTTATTCTATCGTTAGATAGTTATATGCATATAGAATTATATCGTCGATGTCAACTTATTTGGAGTGAGAGGTAATCGTCATTGTTATTAGTGAAATATTAAATTTACACTAAGAAGGTTCAAAATTTACGTAATAAATACACAGTTAATTTTTTACCTCGACTCATGATTGTTGTTATATACTCTTATTATTTCTATATCATTAGAAAATGTGAAGTTTTTCTGATTACCTTAGCTAGAGATTATTATTTTGTTATTGAGATAGACTTAACTAGGGGGTCAAAATTAATACTATAGGTAAGGTTTATATAATCGATCTTAACTTATTTGAATTCGACTAATCACTATTATTATAGTTTACATATCATATCACCTTCAATTAATTGGAATTATGCGAAATTCTTATAATCGATCTCAATTTATTTGACTTTGACAAACAAACTATATTATTGTTGTGGTATCATACCACCTTTGACTAATTGGAGTTGAAATTTTATGCAGGGAACAAGTGAAAATTCCTGTAGAAAAGCCATATATCTATCTCAAAGGAGAAGGAAGAAGAAAAACCAATGTTACATGGGATGACTATGGGTCTATTGATTCTGATGCAACTTTCTTCTCTGAAGCTGATTATACACTTGTCAAAAGCATAACTTTTATGGTAACCCCCCCCCCCCCAAAAAAAAAATAAATCATGACTTGTCATAAACGTTTTCGATGAAATTACTATTTTTTCACTATTGGTATAATTTATTTATTTTTTGATAAGCATGATGTTCAGGTTAGCTTGCGCATACACGTTGATTAATTTCATGGAAATACTTCTCACCTCAATAATCGTGGTGTCTGAGTGTGCTTGCATATATCTCCATTAATTCTTAAGGTCTTCAGACCTCTCACCAGCAATGAGAACTCGACAGATAGACAAAATCACCTAGTGTTTTTATCTCATCCGAGATTTGAACCTGAGATATCATAATTCTCGATTCACTTCACTAACCACTTTTTTGTTTTTGATAAACTTTAATCAACTTGTATGCATGTCGATCAATTTCATGGGATACTTGCGACCTCCCACCAGCAACATCGACTAGATAAAAAGAAAAAATTACTAAGTATTTTTATCTCATCTCAAATTTGAACCTGAGACATCATAGTTCTCGCTTCACTTCATTAATCATTTTTTTAAAATTTTTTTTGATAAACTTTATGTTTGTTTTGTTTATTCAGAATTCTTATAACATTCCTCTAAAAGGCAGCAAAAATATGAGCCAAGCACTGGCAGTAAAGATTTCTGGAGATAAATCAACATTTTATAGATGTGGATTTATTGGAGTGCAAGATACAGTGTGGGATGTACAAGGAAGACATTATTTCAAACTTTGCACTATTGTTGGAGCTATTGATTTCATCTTTGGTAATGGTCAATCTATTTACGAGGTAAAATTGTTTGCAGTTATATTTTTGTATTTTGGTTATTAATTATAATACTAGACAAGTAGACATGTTTGTTGTATGGTTATGTAATTCAACTTGCCATAAAGCTTGTCTCCTTGCCTATTTGATACCTTTTTTTTTTCTAGTTTAACTGTTTATTTTTATAATTTTTTGAAATTTCACTTGAATTTGAATATTTCCAAAAAGTTGTTTTTACACTATTGTGTTTAATGTATGTACATAGGTTATGAATTTTATAATGGATGTACAAGCTATTGTGTATATGAATGTGTATCATAGGTATATATAGAGTGTAACGTATACACAATATATACACATTGTAAACTAGATGATCGAATGATTCAGACCAATAATTATCATTAGTTTTTCTTTTGTTTCTTTAGTGACTCGAACCTATAACCTCAAAGTTACTGAGGTTATAGACATAGTATTTACCGTCCGAGCAACCTCTTTTGTTGACCCAATTTTTTTTTTGTTTGATATATGCAGAGATGTGCCTTAGTAGTAAATGCAGGAACATTAAGTGGACCAGGATCCATTACAGCACAAGGAAGACAAAGTCAATATGATCAAAGTGGATTTGTTTTCAAAAATTGTGAAGTTTATGGAACTGGATCTACTTATTTAGGGAGGCCATGGAGGGATTATGCTAGGGTTCTTTTCTATAATTGTTCAATGTCAAACGTCGTCGTTTCGCCCGGTTGGGATGTTTGGAATTTAAGTGGAAAAGAGTAAGTTTCGATCCCTTCTTATATATTTAACTTATATACATTAATGGATTATTTTATATTACTCGTAAATTGTATTTTTCTTTTAGTGATCATTCGATGCTTGGAATTGATTCGATTCCATATTCAGAATTCACTAGTCTTATTTGTATATTAGAAGCATGATATAGAGGATTTTAGCAAGGTAAAATACATAAATAGCTAATTATTTGCCATCTTATTTTCATTTTGTAGAATTTAACATTGTATGAATCTAGCTATTTTTCAAAAACTAAATTAAGAAAATGTCTAATAGATACTTTTTACCGTTTAATGCTTCCTATTAGAGATGACTTGTATTTTGGGATAAATTACTATACCTCTTGATAAATGTAAAAAAGCCTTTATCATTCCATTCCATTCCATTCTTTAATTTGGTGGTAAGGTTGGTTGATATTTTATCATGTTATTAATTTATAGGAATTTGCATATATGTTTTAAAATGACAAAATTATTTAAATATTTTTTTACATTATATATATATAGAACTTAGGATGTGTTTGATAAGGAGAAAACTCTTTTCAGAAAATATTTTTCAGTTTGATGACAAAATATGTCTATTGTGATCTTCCCCTTGTCAAATCTGGCATAGCGAGAATTTAGTGTATTTAACTATCTTTTTTCTTTTATCTTTCTAATAGACATTTTTTAGAAAATATAGAATCATCATTATCATCATCATGGCGTATAACCATTATTATAACTTGTTTATGATATAGGAATCAATTGACATTTTCTGAGGAAAAATGCAATGGAATTGGATCAAACACTACACAAAGAGTGCCATGGTTAACCAAGTTGAGCCAACAAGAGTTGCAACAATTAACAAGCATATCATTTATTGATAATGAGGGTTGGATTATGAAGCAACCCCTCAAAGTACTTTAGATAATTAATTAATTAGTTTGATTAGATTATTTATGGGACTTAATTAGTTATTTGAATGAGAGATACACGTTCAAGAATGTAACAAAAATTATGGGTAGAGATTTTGAACTCTTAATGAGCCCATATTGGATTTTAAATGTTGTTTTTTCCTTCTTTTTTACTTGTAATGATAAATATTAGAAGTATATTCCTATTTTTGTGGGATATATGTCCATTATTTCAATTTTATAGTCTTTTGAATTTCTTATTGGTTAAGGTTATAAACAACAACATATTCAGTATAATTTTACAAGTGTGATTTTAGATAACGAGAGTAATATATACATAACTTTTAAAGATTATTTTCAGTAGACTTTCAATCTCGACTCAAGTGACACATATCAAAATAAAATATGAAAAGAAGTTACATTACGTAAAAAACATAAGAGAAGAGAACAGTAAAAATAACAAATACTACATAATATCAATAATGAAAATTATATAATGTTCGACTATCTACTAATTCTTTACCCTAATTAATCTCAAGTCCTCGACCTCCGTATATATTCTCTAATTCTATCTAGGATCAAGACCATGTCCTTAATAATGTATTATTATTATTATTATTATTATTATTGTTATTATTATTATTATTAGGAAAATTATTATTAATTTTATAATTTTAGTGGTACCTCTTCTTACGGTTAGCAAACATATATTAGTAAACCTAAATCGTCTAGGAAAACAATAAACGATTTCTATATATTTGGAGAAGAACGACTTTTCATAGGACTAAATACTTATACACTAATTTGTGATTATTCACATTATACAGTAGAAGACTGCGGAATAATATTTTCAAAACATTCTTCGAAATTATTTAGCGTCAAGAGGTATGTATTAATTTTAATTTATAACTTCTTAGTTATTCATACCTTATTTATAAAATTATTCAGTACTTATCAAGAACTCTTCAACTATATAGTAAATAACCATAATTATTTATTTTTTCAATAAATTAATTTAGCATTAATAATAATAATAAAAAATTTAGATGAAAAGTGTACAGGATTTAATTATAAATGTATTTATTAGTTTCATACAAACGCAAAACACAAGTAATCCTTTTATTTGTTCAAATTTTAGTATAATGAGGTGTTCATAAAGTTAAATCGATGAAAATTAACCGTAATAAATACCTTATAAATTATTCATTTGTTTTGAAATAAAAGAGTAAATTTTGAAATTAAATTTAAAATTAACTTTATCATACATTTGATTATTTTAAATTTATAATTATTATATTAAAATAATATAATTTTCGACTAAAACCTCACATAAAAATTTAATTAATCGAATCTCGCGTATCAAATAACCGACACATGTGGTGGAATGGGCCAAAATGAGCCAAACCCCCCCTCCCCTCCCTGTAGGGCTTGCCATATTGAGGTTTTTTGAATTTGCTCCCCCCTCCCCAAAAACCCCCACACCACAACCCAAATGATGAGTCAATTGATAAATTATTTGAAAATTAACTGAAGAAATCTCTCACCTTTTTTCTCCATATAGTTATTGGTAAATCTCTGGAAAATCCCTTCTCTTTAACTTGTATATGAATATCCTTTGCACTATAATCCATGGATGTAATGTAAAGATTTGAAATGAATGATCTTTAGTCTATTTATGCTTTTATTTAGGTTTTCATGTATCAAAGATTTGTTTTTTTTGGGTATATTTTGAATGAAAATCGATTTTTTTGCTAGCAATTTGTTGTTGTTGATTGTGTTAATTAGAACTTTGTGCTTCTGTGAGTTTCCAGTAATATATAGAATGTTTAGAACTGTATTTGCCTATTTGGTTTGAGCTTAACTCTTGTGTACACTATCATGTCTAACTCTAACTTATGCAATATGGTCATTGAAAATCGAGTAGTCGGTAGATGTGCATTGTCTTGCTGTCTGTTCATACTAGTAGTTGTAGTATTGTTCTAGTATTGTTTTGTTACTATCTGTTGTTTCTTGTACTTCGATTACTTATTTGCTTTGGATTCTTTTTTTCTTGAGTCGAGTTTCTATTAGAAACAACTTTTAAATTTCTACGGACAGGTAAATGTCTCTGTTTGTTGCAGATTGGTAGCCTGAAAAATGTTCTAACTACCCTACTATGTAACCAGTTAAATTGAACAATTAGTATATAAATCATTTGCACTGTCAGTGTATGCTAATTACATCCATTTGATTTTTGTGGTCTTTTTAAGGGAATAATGGGGAAAAGGGCTAAAAAAAAGGCTAGAAGTGGTGTCAAGGAGACGCGGAATCCCGTTGCATCTGCAAATCGTATTGATGAAAAGAGCAGTCCGAATATTGATACTCCTGATGTTGCAGTTTTTGTTGTAAAAGATAGAAAAGAATGTCCACATGTTGATAAGGTTATTGATGTGGGCAAAGTCTCCGCTAAACTTGAATCTTCGGAACCTGTTAGGTGTGAGGATTGCAGGGAAGGAGCAGCTGATAGACAAGCTAGTAGGACAAAAGGTAAGCATGGAAAAAAGAAGGGAAGTGCAGATCCCAAGAAGAAGTCTAAAGCCATTTGGGTCTGCTTAGTATGCGGCCATTTCTCGTGCGGAGGTGTTGGATTGCCTACTACACCTCAGAGCCATGCAGTTCGGCATGCGAGACAATACCATCACCCTCTCGCTGTACAGTTTGAAAATTCTCAATTGCGCTGGTGTTTTCTGTGCAACACACTACTTCATGCTAAAAAAGTAGAGGATGGCAGTGAACAAAAGGATGTACTTGACGACATTGCAAAGATGATTAAAAGGCGTCCGTCTGAAGGGCCTACTACTGATGTGGAAGCTGTTTGGTTCGGGAGTGGGAGTGTCACTAGCGAAATTAAATCAGAAGCTTCTGCTTCTATAAGTGCTGATGGAAAAGGTGGTTGTGCCATTAGGGGATTGGTTAATTTAGGGAACACATGTTTTTTCAATTCGATAATGCAGAACCTACTGGCAATGAATAGACTAAGGGATTACTTTCTTAAATTTGATGGTTTTGCTGGTCCTCTTACCGCTGATCTGAAGAAGCTCTTTACTGACACCAGCAATGAAGCTGCGCTGAAAGGATCTGTTAATCCAAAATCTTTGTTTGGTTCAATATGTACCAAAGCTCCACAGTTTCGAGGATACCAACAGCAGGACAGTCACGAATTGCTTCGCTGTTTACTTGATTGTCTGTGTACTGAGGCATTGACGCGCAGAAAGCTAATCAAATCTTCTCAGGATGACGGTAAATCCCGGAGTTCATGTCCAACGTTTGTCGATGAGATTTTTGGTGGTCGACTCTCTAGCACTGTTAGCTGTCTTGAATGTGGGCACACTTCAGTAGTCTATGAACCATTCTTGGATCTCTCCTTGCCTGTTCAGACTAAAAAACCTCCTTCTAAAGGAGCTCAATCAGTCTCCCATGCCAAAATATCAAAACCTCCAAAGAGAAGTGGAAAAGTTTTTTCTAAAGTTAGCAGAGATGCAGCTTCTCTCAATTCTCAACGAAAGGGAGAGAAATCTCTCAGCCGTGTGTATCCTAGAGTACCTGTCACTGAAGGAATGATACTTCCTTCTGATACATCGCTAGAATCCACTGATGCTGGTGTTATGGCTGATAATACAGGTTTAACTTCACAGGACTCATGTTTCACTCAGAAGTCCCGTAATGAGGAAACTTGCGAGGGTGTGACTAGGCAGTTGGCGATGGTTGATGACTCGACATGGTTAGATTTTCTCGAACAGGAAACACTGCCAAATGTTGATGACGCAGCTTCAGAAGTTGATCACATCGTGACTAATCAAGGTTCTGAAACTGGATCTGTTCAATCTGTTGACCCTTTGCAAAATAATCTGGACGCTGATACAGAGATGAAGTTGACATGTACAAACAGCACTCGTTCTCCTAATGATTTAATGTGTTTGGATGACCAAGGACAATCCAAATCACCAGACTGTGATATAGCTTCTGAATTCAGTAAAAAGCTACTGATTAAAGAGTCTGAAAAGATCAGCTCTGTGGATTCAAATCATGGAACAGATTCATTTACGAGGTTATCGGAAGATGAAGCCCCGTTACGACTACAAGAGTCAGAGATTCTGTTACTTCCATACAAAGAAGTAACCTCAACTGCTGGTGACATGTTAAATGAAGGTTGTGAGGTATCCTCAGCTGCTGTTGGTAGGGAAGAAGTTTCATTTAATGAGCCTGAGTCTGATGCACAGTCTTTGTGCAATGCTTCTGTTTCTCAGGCCAATGGACTGAGAGAAGCTAGTTTTACTGTTTCAAACATCAGCATGTCTGATCCGGAAGAGCTTGATATTACAGATGCTCCTGTATCAGTGAAGAGTTGTTTGGCTTATTTTACAAAGCCTGAGCTTCTTTCCAAAAGTGAACATGCTTGGCAATGTGAAAATTGCACAAAAGTTCTAAAAGAAAAGAGAATGAGATCTAAGAATAAATTGACGAAGCCTAGATCACATAGCATGGTAAATGGACACGAGGACAAAAATCCAGATGGTGTGTCTTCTTCAGGAACATTCCCAAAGGGAACCAGCCCTCGAGCTGATCGAGATTCAGGGTCTTCGCTATCGGAAAACGGCACACAGGAAAATCACAGTGAAACTAGCAGTCAAGTGAATATAGACTATCAGACCAATAAAGTTCAATTGCTGGAAGCTCCGCTGGTTTCTGATATATCTGAATCTGAAGAAAGTGAGAATGAGGAGACAGACTATAAAAGAGTTAGAGTTGAAAGGGATGCAACTAAGCGGATCCTAATTGATAAGGTCCCTCCTATTTTGTCAATTCATCTAAAGAGGTTCCGTCAAGATGCTCGGGGGCGCTTGAGTAAGCTGAGTTGCCATGTCAATTTTAGAGAAGCACTTGATCTGAAACCATATGTTGACACCAGGTTTGTTGATTCTCCTTCATTTTGGGCATTTAATCATTTATGGACTTTTGTGTATCCCTTGTTCATTAGACTGATTCTATTATTTTGTATCATATTTTATGCAAAAAAATCAACAAATAACGGCCAAAAACTTTGGAGTACATAATAGTGAGGTCATGGAATCTTTTGAGACAGAACTTGTCATCGATGCTATTACACTCTTAACATTCGATGTTACTTTGACATTCATTTAATATTTCTTTGAATATCCTGCATGTTTGAGAACTTCA